AAGTCATCCTATTATGTCCCTAGTTCAGGCTGGCTACTAGCATTTTTCACCTGTTTCAGTAGCACCAATCTCCGGTCCAAGTCATTGGCACCGCTGGAACCAAGTCATGAGGCACGCACACCGGGCAGACATGGCACCGACATGGCGAATGACAGACATGGCAAGGTAAAGAGCTCTATGAGTTGATGGGTTACGAGCCCTTGAAGGAATGGAGATATCCGTCCGGACCGTGAGCAGTCGACGGGTCACGTGGTGGACCGCGAGAGAGACAGACCGCGAGATGCTGGGGACATGGGTGGGGGGAAGGACACGCTGGGAGGCACAGCAAATGGTTTACTGTTTGGTTTTCTTTGCGGGAAAGGGAGAATCAAGATCCAGTTCTGGGTGGAAGGACCGAAAAAGTGACCATGCTTTTCGAGAAGAAGAGTGTGCTTTGGATCATTAGTAGTTCGACCACATGGACCTGCACCGCCCAGGTCGCCTTCAAACAAATCCTAGGCATTGGAAGGCGCAAGGTGTCGCACTCAAAGGGGGATCATGTTGGGAGATGGATTCTTGTCACAGCTTAGCTCACTTAGTCTGATTGGAACCAAGACCAGAAGAGGTAGCAGTGACTCATGAAGATAGAAGTTAGAAGTGTCAAACAACAGGAATTGTATTCTTCCCAGCTGTTTGTAGCTCCTGCAGAGTTGATTCATGCTGCACACTGCGGTTTCCTGAGGCACGTCGAGAGTCTGAGTCTACTGAAGTTTGTTCGGAGACTCTTAGGCATCCGCAGAAGAGGCTGACCCTCAGTGTACATATGGCGGAGAAAAAGCTGCTGAGAGGCTGCCTAGGGCTGTCTGCGTGTGACCCATCCTGGTCTTGTTTGGATCGAAGTTGATACATGGCGGATTTTATTTGATGCGGATTTATGTAGGATCCATTCTTTTCAACTGCCCTAGGGCTTCCAACACCGGACTGGTTTGTCAGTTGGTCCCTTCCCGGCCAGACAGTACACCTCAGCTATGCTCACAAGGCTGCCTGCGGCTGAGGTGGATGCCTCCAAGGCCAAGACCAAGATCCAGATTCGTTTCCACGATGGCACGCGCAAGGCTCAAGAGTTCAACGAGGAGACCCGACCAACCTCAGCCGCGAAGACTCGCCGACCTTCTTCGGGGTCGGACCCGGGCCCGCGGACGGACCAGCGATTCCACTTGAGCATTTTTCTAGCTGACCGGTGGGTGTGGAGGGTGGTGGGTGGCCGGACCCCCCGGATTTTGGGGTGATTGGGTGGCTGGTGCTGATGGGGCGGATCCGTGACAAATGAATCTACTTTGACTAAGAGCCTCCAAGCTTTGATGATGGCCAAAACGGTCACAGAGACCGATCACGGCAAGCTCAAACCAATCAACATGCCTGAATCCACCAAAAACAGCATGATCTAATTCAGAGTGTGTAATTTCCAACTCTTACAGGCTTGGTGAGAGAAAGTTCTCAAAGATTGTCCACCTTTGTCGCTTGCAAAACACATAGAGTTTGTAGCTTGGCCGATGTGGCCGAAAGAGGGTGGACATTGACTGCGGAAGAGGTCGAACAGTCCCATGTCCTTTCTGCCTGGCACCGAAGAAACCCTGGACCCGAATCCTCTGGAGGTGGTCGGGTTTCAAATTTTTGGGGTTTTGAGGGACCAAGGTGACCAAGGGCTGGTTGGAGCGTTTGGAACCAGATTTGCTTGTTTCAGGATCATACCGTGGGAGACTTGCGCGCCTTCTGTGCACAGTGTGTGGGTGGAGAGGCACGGCACGTATTTGCTAGTGACAGCAAATATTTCAGGCATGAAGATAATGCTATTAATTTTATATTCATATAATATTTGAATATATATATATAGGTTGGAGGCCATCGCGTAGGTTGGAGGCCATCGCTCTTAGATTCCTTTGCTATTAGGTCAGAAAGGATCACTTTGAAAACCATCCGTAAATCAGCCGGAAATTCGTCAGATGGATAGTGGAAACACCACCTAAAGCTGCTCCTGCAATATCAACGAGCTTCTGCTGTAGAGGAGGGCGTGACAACACAAAGCATCTCAGGCCCCATCTATATCAACATGGACTCTGACAGCCAGAAGGCTAAGTACCCATGGAATATTCCCCATCTTCGGGGGTAGTTCAACTGTTTAACAAGGTTCACACCAAGTCAAGGCGAAGCTCCAAGTCAATGCTCAGCTCCCCTGCCAAACTGGGGGTGTCTCATATTTTGCCGCACATACCGAATCAGAGTTGATCCACATGCACAGAATGAAAAGCAGTGAATTAGGAGAGACAAAAGTTCAAAGCCAGGTATGAGGCCCGCAGGATTGTCCGTCGATTGGACTTCCTGAACTTAACTTAGCGCTCCCAAATGGAACAGCTTGGATTATCACTGGGAGTGTCTCATTTTATTTTATATTTTGAAGTGTTGTCTTTCCCTGGTGGAGTCTAGTTCATTGCAGTATAGTGTTTTGTTAATTATGTGTTGGTCCTCTTTTTTGTCTTTGCGCCTCAGCAGCAAATCTAAAGGAAATGCTAGATCCTGTTGAATGACTGATCGCGCCCTTGACTCAATGGTCCCCACATATAAGTACCAGAGAAACTCATCGTCCGGATATCCACGGACACCACGCACATCGTCCAACATGCACGAATCTGGTTTGAGAGGCGATGACCATCATGGGAGGATTCCCACCCAAGGCGGCTTTTGGGCCCGTAGCGCCCGTTCTGGTGTGACAGAGACGAGAAGGGCTGAGAAGGGCTGTGACAGAGTGGGAGAGTCTTGTGTGAGTTTCTGATCCAGAGGTGGCGAGTTTTTGGCTTAGTTTGCAGCGTCTTAGACGTGCGCCAATCTGGCTGAAACGTCCGGAATGCTGAACAGTCTGGTCGTTCTCTTTGGATCGATTGGGACAATGTGACATTCTAGGCACCAAGATCACAAAGCGCATATCAACTGTCCGAATACGTCCCAATAAGGCATGGTAAGTGCCAGAGGTTACACGTTGGGGGGAAATAAAGGCCGTCCAAAGATGTAGAAAGAGCTATCACATTCCACTCAATGAGAGGCCAAACTTACTCCCCTTGAAGCACCTGTTTTCTTTCTCATGTCCCCGATGGCATGCCATGCTTGTCCTTCACGCTTTTGCGACGACCAAAGTCGCTCTTGTCTCAGCCCATCACCGACGACAGCCTTACCTTGAAAGATGCTGGATTGCTGAATGCGGCTGCGGGCGCCTTAGTTCCGAAAGGAAGGCGTTCCATCCTGAGGTGGTGATGACATCACAGGTAGCTTCGGATTGATTAGGTCAAGCTGCACCGAGGAATGATGGGGGCACTGTCCAACACTTCTTCCCAGCTACTCAATCGCTACTAGTAACAAGGGCATCGCTATTAGTAATGCCCTGGTTACTAGTAGCGATGCCCTTGTTACTAGTAGCTTCGCAGTATTCACAGCACATGACGCTGTTGGCCCGAGGTGACTGTGAAGCCAGCATGAGTCGCTCTTCGGCCATAATCGGTCGGTCGTTTTGGAGGGGGCCCAAGCAGACTGCTGCGAACTGAACAGAGGCAGCATGGCAAAAGAGCCGTGAAAGGTGTATGGACCGTGTGGGTCCAGAGTCCAAAACTGCAGGGCAACCACTGAGTTAGATATAGTTACGATGTCGTGGACTCATTCCTTGCTTTGTTGCTCGCATGCTGGCTGACACAATGGAAGATTTGGAGATCTATTCCAAATTTGGGTAAAGCATGGTAAATATAGACTCCGAGGTATCACTCTTCCAGTGGCTTCATATACGCGATTCCGTCCGCTCTCCAGACCTGGTTCAAAGGGCAACGTGAAAATGTTCCTTTGAGCTCTTCAAGTCCTTGACATTCTGAAGGGTTTGGATGAGAAGCAGTTTCATCGGTTTTCTCCTTGAAAGATGTTTTTGCACCTTCCTGCTGTTTGCGCCATTCAAATCTCATGAACACGCTTGAGGGGTGCAGGCTGCTAGCACCGCACCCAATGTGAGGGTTGGTGTGGGTTATCTTCTTGAGCAACTTTTCTTGCAATAGATCCATTTGCTGAGTGAGCTTCTCTTGATGATGACCTGCACCCTGAAAGTCTTGGGAAAATCGGTGTGAGTGCTTGCTCTTCTAGAATCTACTTCTGGGATTCTAGACTTCGATTTCACCCCAACCCGTTGACAAACGATTCGCTTGAACACCGCCGTGGCTCAAGCATGGCAGAGAATCCGACAATGCAGCCCAAACCATGCATGGCGGCATGGTGCTGGTGAGTTGCCATGGCTTCGATTTAAGCAGACAAGTTGATTTTGACACACCGACCTGGCTTCTAAACAACCTATCCACCTTCAGCATAGACATCAGCTGAATATGTGTGTAATCAGTGTAATCTATGTGTCTATGTGTCTGTCTCATGTCTACTGCAGGGGTCAGCCGTGAGGAAGTACACTTTCAACAGTACTATCAGACCTTTGGGTGGGTCATTGACCCAAAGCCTGAAGGAGGTCAGGGTCTTCTGGGCGGTTGGGCTTAGGGAATGGATGGGGCTTTCAACATACAGGTGGTGGGGGTATATAGCAATTTGTACATACTATAGGTGGTTTTTCAACATACTATAGGTGGTTTTGCTATGCTTAAAGAAAATGAATTCAGAGACATTGTCTTGTTGGTTTCTACTGAGCAGGTACTGAGCAGATGTTGTTGGTGTCGCTTATGTTCAGACCTACTGTAAGTGCCGGTTTCTACTGGTCCTGGTACTGCTTCAACAGCTTGCCGGTCTTTTCATTTTTGTTCCACTTCTGCATGAATTTCAGGCTCAGTTCCCCACGCCTTCACGAGCAGATGGTCGCTCCGTCAGCAACTCGCAGACATCACTTCGTAGAGGGTTGGTCATCCCTCAGACGTTCGCTGCAACAGTTCGTCCCATGTGAAAGCATCAGCCACCGGCGAGTCCGGGTGTGGAACCACCACGTCCGCGTTCACGCGTCGTGCGCCGTGCGCGTTCACGGCTCATCTCCAGGCGCCATGGTGATCCCCATGCAGATGTCGGGCCCCAGAGCAGCGGACTGATGCGGACTGGCGTAAGCATACTTTGCTGGGAACATTAAGCAATGTATAGGCAACAAACACCAGAAGCACCAAGAAACACTAAAAACCCAAAGAAGCACGCAGAAGGATTAATTAGGCAGGATTGCCAGGACCTCATTTCTGTTCGCTTCGCCTCTTAAAAGGACCACGTTTTCACTCGTTTTCCATCGTTTTCCGTTGGCCTCTCGTTCTTCTTTGGAAGCAGCTGCACCCGCACCGGGTGGACGACCGGACGACCGGACGACCTGCGAGGCCGGCGGTGTCGGCGCACTTCCCCGCGCCCACGGAAGGTGCCGGGAGCTGAGGCGGACGCTAAAGACGGAGGCCTCCTCGAGTGACGGAAGAGCAACGCCACCATCCGACAGGTTGGGAAAAGAAACCCTTGTAAACAGAGGTTCCAAATCCGCAGAGCTGGTGTCTTCTGAGAGAAGATGGGGAGAGAGTAGAATTTAGAAGTGAGGTCAGTGGTTTGGGTTGGGAATGGGCTCACGAAAGAAACGCTTGAATTTCTTTGTCGTTCGCTGCCAAGTGGCGCGCTTTTGAGGAAAAGGATTCCTGAGGGGCTCAACTGCCAGATTTGATGTGTTTGGTTCAAGCCGTTGGGGAAATCTTTGGACAGATGAATCTCCAAGGCCGGGTGGCTTCAGCCTGGGAAACGGTAAGGGGGTCATCCACAACCGGTTCCATGTGTTTGCCTCCGCCGCATATCACCAGTCATACAGACCATCCATGCCCCTTCCAAAGGCAACATTGGCTGACAACGCGAAACCAAGACATGTGTTCTACAGGAAACAACACATTCCGCATTGAATAGGCAAGTTATCATATATTATCATACTACCAAAACTCGGCTAGAACCATCCATACGGAGGGAAAACACGGGCAAGGCCATGTGCCGAACTTATTGGTCTAAACTACTCCGTCCAAACCAAGGCAGTGAAGCGAATGAAGTTTTCCATCCTCGCCACTGGACGTCCGACGTTTGGGGCGTGGGAACGTGACCGAACCTCGCGCGATGAGGAAACGGGCAGCATACGAGTTACCATTGAGGAAGTGCTTAGGGAAGGGGTTTCAAGGCATGTGGACGTCACGTAGAAGCACAAGAAGGCGATAGATCAAAGCAGACCAATGGCGGTCTTGTGCATTCCGCCCCAATTCGAGGTCATGTTGTAACAGGCCCCTTCAGTTGGAGCCAGCAACCCCAGCAAAACATGGTATGAATTAGATATAACGGTAAACTAGTACTGTCTACCACTGAATGAAGCATGGTTCTAGATCTTTGCATCTGGACCCTGGCAAAAACCTTGAAGATGCCCTCAATGATAGATGAGCATTCCCTGCTTGCAGAGTAGCCAGCAAGAAGTTGGCAAACGGCGAACAATGCAACTTCACAGAGGATGGCAACAGCTTCTCCCTGTACAATAGCGTGCACTGGGACCATGTTCACCAAGGCTTAAAAAATATATCAGAGTCTTCTTTACGCTGACATGCCGACGTAGGGATGAAATGGAGACTGGCAGACACCTTGATAGCGATCAATGTTTTTTTGGCTCTGGTCATATCAAGAAAGTTTAAATGTTCAATTTCGATCAGGGGCAGGCACTCTCTGCTCAACAGACAGAAAATGTCCCACGACCGACTCCCATCAAAGTGAATTTGTTCAACTAAGAGGTCCGCTAAAGCTGCCCTTTACTTGGTGTAGCACTGAGGGCATTGGAGGCAGCATGGTTGGCCGGCTGCTCTGCGCCATCGTGCAGGGCTTCATCGGGTTGCTTGGCTGAGCCAGAAAAGGAGGGATGGGCCATCAATGAACATGCACGAAATCTGTGGCATTAAGGTGTTGGAATTTCTTCCAGTAGGCAAAAGTTCCAAAGACATCCACAAAAAGCAAGATACATTCTTAGGTTTGCTGATGCCACTGCAACCATGTGACTCTGCGATCTACATGGGTCATCTCAGGGAATCTGGTGTGGAGTTCCTTTGTTTGAGATTTTCCATAATTAATAAATCTGTTTTCCCTATATCTCGTTTACATACATTTACACGGTCATTTCTTCCGTTTGTTTCATTTCTTCCGGTCCATTCAGGTCCGCTGAAGCAACTCTGAGGCAAGACATCTTCGGGATTCTCTACATGTTTGTGAGCTTCACATGCGGTGTTTTCATGTTCAAGGCCGGCGTTCACGAAAGGAACAGCCGAAACTCAGCGGTGGTTCGGGGTGGTGAGGAGTCGGTGGGAAGTGAGGAGGATGGACCTTAGAATCCTCATTCTCAGAAGGGAGGGTATTTGGAAGCTCCATGAGTCAACCCTCATGCAGGTCCGGTGACGGCTGCAGACCGAATGGGGGCAGTTTGATTTTCAGTTTGTGGGCAATCTCCGCAAACAGTAACGGCTCCTGCATAGATTTCAGGACAGGTAGCTTGATGAAACAACCTTGAATCCCAGGGAGGACAACATCCATGAATGCTCTAGGCATCTCTAGGCATGAACAGGAACTAAAACTATACTAGAACACATTCAAACAAAGACCATAGAATCTGGAGTCACTGCAGTCCCTTGACATTTAGGTGACTCTTTGACTGTTTGACTGACCACAGGGTCTCTATATACGAGCTATGACTGTAGGGTCTCTTTACGACGAAATCGACCATGTCTTGAAGAGTCGGAGCTGCTCGTGCGGAGCACCTCGCCGTGGACCAGGAAGATGAGCGCTTCGCTAAAGTCTACCAGGCACCCGCACGAACCCGCAGGTCTGTCGCAGCGTCAGGTTCTCTGCCGCAGGTTGGGGAGAGTTGTAAAACCAATCATGCTACCAATCCTTTTGGTATAGGTTCATTCTTGCATCACTACTGAGATCATTCTCCCAGCACATAGCAATACACTGTCAACAAAGACTGGTGGACTTCCTCCATAAAGTGACTTCATTGCTCAACAATCTCAACCTTGTGTCCCAGACGCTCCATATATCTAACCACCCAGTCATGTCATGTACGTCATATTTGCCTAGATGGCGGTGTTTGGGCAGGGCTCATCATGTATCTATGCCATCAGAACAGAGACTCCTCACCTGGTGTGCCCTGCCCAAACCCAAAGGCCGGACCCGTCCCCCGCCGCGTGCTCGGCCTGCTCCGTCCGAATCAGTGCCTGGCCTCCAGCATCTGCCAGACCTGTGCCGAACGAGGTGCGAGAAGGGATGCTATGTGACCCGAGAAGGGTTCGGTGGTGTGAACGAGGTCCGTTGACCGCCGCGAAGGACGCGGGGAAACCGTTCCTCCTCGTAGTGAGTCTGGTAGGAAACCCCGTGGGTTTCGCGGCAAAGATGGTGAAGTTGTGTTGGGTCCCAGTCCCTTTGGCGCCAGGCTTGGGCGGCACGGCGTGTTTGGTGCCGTTCATGGCCTTTTCCATCAGCTGGGAAGCTTAGCGGATGAAGAGGAAACGCTTGAACAGTGTTCTGATATAGAGAGACTGTGCGGGATTCTTGATGAAAGTTGAAGTAAACGTTCACACTTGAGGGTTGATGTGATCAACTTGGGCCAGGAAAACCGCTTCACACTCACACTCATACCATTTTTGGTTGTTCCTTCCAATTACAATGTCCAATGGTGTGTTGAACACCATGAAATTGTCGAACCTCAATCGACCTGCTCTGTTTATTTTTATTTTTGTGTGTGTGAGTCATGTTGTTTGCATGATCTCAGATCACTTGATCAGTGAGCATTTCGGTGGGTACAGGAGGATATTGTACTGTATTTATAAG